TTGATGAACTCATCCTACCATTGCCAGCCAAGTGCATAGGTCCCAAATGGTTAACGCCCACTAGCTGCCTCCAGCCTCTTTTGCAGCTTGGCATCACGGTTGAGCTCTGGCAGGTAGGGTGTGAGCAGAAGTGAAGTGATTTCTGAGGCTTGCATCTTTGTGTTCTTTCTCTGCACAGTGGCAGATGAGCCAACAACCCAGGGACCCAAGTCTTGCAAGAGCAGACTCACAAGTTGAATTTTGAGCTTTGCTTTTGAGATGCATCTACTCAGCCAACAAAGAACTGTAACAGGGGCTCAGGAACTTGAACTCAGAATGTGATATGCAAAGTAGCCTAGATAGTAAGCTTTGGACCAGAGAAAAAATTTAAATTACAGCGCACAACACACAATTTAGGAGTGAGCCTGGGCAAGTGCTTGATATGGGTCAAGTGTTTTCCACTATTGGAATCAAAAAGCCTAGAATATCCCTCACCTCTACCCCTGCTCATCCACAGCAGAAGAAAGGCTCCGGATTACAGCATCAGTTGGACTTACTTGAAACTAGCCATTGGGTACAAACACAACCGGCACAGCGCCTGTTCGGTGGATGCTGCCTCTCCCACACACATGCCGACTCCCCTTCCCTGCCATGCCTTAGTCTTAGGTGTCTCCAGTGTGATAACAATGCCGTGTCTTCCTTCTATCTTGGCCCCACTGACAACTGACCAAGGACATCTAAGTTAGACATGAAGCACAAAGGAGTTGAATGTAGACACCTCCCCTTCTTTACTGGAGGATGATGACAGAGTTGATGGCTTCAACTTGAAGATTCAAGATTTTTCTGATGTCTTCCCTGCCAATATTCCTTGGGAAAAAAAGAGACGCTTATTTTTTTTCTAAATGTCTTTTACTTACCAACAACCACCATTCCTAAAGCCCTTTACCCACTTGATCTTACCTCTCCATAGCTTTTGCCAGAGGGTAGGTTTATTTTACGGATGAGAAAACTGGGCTCTTACAGGTGAAGTGACTTATCCAGGTTGACACTTCCAGGATTCACACTCATTCCTCCCTGCACAGTCCTCCCCTTCCCTCATCACCTCCCAGAGGCAAAGGAAAGAGCTCCTGCATTCCCTTTATGCTTATATCCATCCTTCCCAGTGGACTGGGCTCCTCTGGTTCAGACAAGTTTGGCACTTCATACACTCCTGATCCTGTCTTCCTTAGGTAGGTCAGGTGACCTCAGCAGACCATGCAGTTCTCCAGGGACTCAGAGGAGAATATGGGTGCTCATCAGATGTTTACCCAGATGCCTGCTTGCCAGCCGCAACATTAAAGGTGATGTTCCTCTCTAAGACCAGCCCTGTACTTACACCCTGAGAGCAAATCCTCATTCTATTTCATGCCATGGTACCTGGCCTGCCTCATCCTAGTCCTAACCCAAACATCTGCATCTCAAAAATCGCACTTTTGGCCTTAGAAATGCCCTTAATGGTTGCTCCTTTAATGGTTTTTAAACTTTTCCTACATATTAAGCCCTTTCACCAAGCCCAGTTAGGGGTGATTTTTTGATGCTGGAAAACGTAGTTGTGGTGTCAAAGCAAAGGAACTTTGGAGTCCAAACAGGAGCCCAGGCTCCCAGCTCCTATTGGCCCAACCACTGCCCACCTGCCTAAGGTCCCCAGCTAGGAGACACCCAGCTATTTAGGACAGAAGATGAGGCCTGAAAGGCAGTCTCCGGAAGATACACAGGGATTGAGGGAGCTCACAGGGAAGTCATCTTTGTGGGAACACACAGCCATTGTGCCCTGCTAGCTAACTATCCATCACCTTCAGGTCTCTTCCTTCCAAAGACCTCTGATCATACTGTGTGCTCCAGGAAGGAGGCTGTGAGAGACACTGAGCAGCGTGGCATCTTCTGCAAGGTGCCCCTCCTGGCTCCCCATTCCTTACCCAGAAGCACCATCTCCCCCAACAAAGCCCTGCATGTTTTTTCTTGAGAAAGCCACAAACCAAGCAGTGAGGAGATGCCACATCATCTGGATTTTGTTTTTGTGTGGGTTTTTTTTTTGTCATTGTTACTGAGAAACACCCTTGTTATCTTACTTTTCAATCTATTTTAAAACTATTTGTGAAAGCTGTTAAGCCACCTGAAGTGGGGTGGACAAGCCAGCAGCAGTTAATCAACATTTGTCCTAACTGGCTTTGTGCTTTTCTGTTCAAGCAAGGATGTGTTTTGTTTTGTTTTTAATTGAGCTAGGAAGAAGCAGGAACGTAACTCAATGATGTAAGCAGTAAACTAGAGTCAAAGCCTTAGAAATCTAGTCCCTAGGCGCTCTGTTTTGCAGGTTTCTAGGCAAAGAATATCAGTGCTCTCTCTGACTGGGTCTTGTGCCCTGGAAAATGGCAGTAAAACTAAGTGTTCTCTTGTATAGGAAGCTATGTGTGTGTTAATTGTTGCAGAAACCAGGACTATGGGGTTATCTCTGTTATAGTAGCCCCGCTTTATCTGCAGGACTTCTGTGGATGCCTGACTTCTGGGAATACCCTAAATCCTGCACAGAATCTAATCCAATAAATACTATTTTTCCCTATCCATGCATACTCATGATAAAATTTAACTTATATATTAGGCACAGTAAAAGAAGAACTACAGTAACTAATAATAGAATAGAATTATAACAATAGGCCATGAGGAAAGTTATTTCAAACTTGTGAATTGTTTATTTTTGGAAATTCCCATTTAATATTTTCAGACCACAATTGATCACAGGTAAATAAAACTGTGGAAAGCAAAGCCACGGAGAAGAGGGCCTCTGTGCACTGATGAGTGGCTACTGGTGATCTCTTCTCCTCTCAGTCAGGAGACCCTGGAGACCTCAGGTCAGCTGACTGTCACCTCCACCTCCCTTGACCCGTGAGTGCTCGTCAGAGGATCCATTTCCTTCATCTGTTAAGGTATGGAGAGCAGCTGCCTCCAGACAAGTAGAGGGGGAGAAAAACGTATTTATTAGGCACATGTATGGTCCTCACCACTTTACTTGCCTGTTTCAGCCTTCATCGTTTCAGGGAGCTGACGAGATCACCTCCACTTTCTGGATGGAAACACTGGGGTTCCAAGACATTACTAAGGCCTCTGTCTCTTTAGTGGCAGCATCAGTCTTGAGGCCTCCCCCAAAGTCCCTTGAGGCTAGAGAAAGAGCAATTGTAGCAGTAGTGCAAGACAGGACATCCCCAGGCAGTCTTCAGGCTGCCCATCAATTGGCCTCTGACTTTCTGAATTCAAGCCTCATGTGTTCTCCACCAGGTCTTTCTGGGCCTTTCCCCATCCTTCCCTCCAGGATAGCTTCTCTTCACATCCCTCAGTCCCCAAGGGAACAGAGAGTGGTCACTCCTCTCAGTCACCTCTGACTTCACCCTGTTGTATTTATTTTGAGTTGCTGTAACAGCGTCCTCAAGACTAGGCAGGTTAAGAGAAGTGCATTTGGACTGTGGTTCTGGAAGCTTTTGGTGCAGGTTTCATGCCGATCCATGCAGTATAGAAAGTCAAAAGAAAGCGAGTGAATACCAGAGCTGGGCACATATAAGGGAGGAGGGCAGGCTTGCTTTATAACTACTGCTCTCATGGTAACTTGCCCATTCTCATGGGAACTATGTCAATCGCGTCATTACTTGGAGTGCTCAGCATCTCAACAGCATCCCATTGGGAACAAATGTCAGCATCAGTTTTGGCGAACACAAATATACCCAAACCACAGGAGCCATCTAGTCTGGGCCCAGGCAATGTTCTTTCTGCGGTGTTTCCTGGGACAGCCTTGGCCCAGAGCTATCCTTGCTGATTTCTTCTCTTCTTATTCTCCCAGATGAACTTCTCCTGGAGTTGTAGCAGGCTCTTTCCCACTACAGCTACAAATGCAGCTTCCCCTGGGGTCCAGGAACACCAGAACGCACTTCCTCCCCCATCCCTAGACACATCAGGCCAGAAGCTGGTACATCCAGATTCCTGGACAGAGGCTGCACTTCGGTTCATCTGGGGGTGATCTCTGCATCAGAGGGGTTGAGGGCCACTGTGATGTGGAGGAACAGTGCTGGACTCAGGTAAGATACACAGCCCTGAGGCATCGAGGGATTTCTCACGAGTCGCAGGGTCACCCAGGCCTTCACCCCCAAGGACTTTATCCCTGGGTTGTTGTGAGGTTCAGAAACACAATGGGCCTAAAGTGTATTGTAGGATTTTTTTTTAGAACAATATTTTCTTGTGAAGGGACAAGTGGAAACAAGGCTAAATAAAAAATCTAAAAGAGGCAGCCTCAAAAAACACATAATATACAGAGGTACTAAAATAGGAATGGGGTGAGAGAAGAAGTCAAGTCAAGGACAGAGTGAGAGCAAATCTAGTATTAATTTAGTTGACTACTTTTACTGGGCAGCTACTATGTGCCAACTACTGTCCTAAGTACTGAGGACACAGGAGCAAAAGAGAAAGACAGAGTCCCTACCCTCAGAGGGCTTAAATCTGAAATGGGAAGGAAAAACAGTAAGCATAATCAAATAAAAATACAAAATGATTTCTAATAGTGATGGGAGTAGATGAAATGCTATGGTGAGTAGAGAGGTGGACAGTGAGAATAAGGTGACAATGTGGCCATTCCAAAGCAACCACCTTTCAGCTGGGAAGAGAGTGCTGAGCTAGAGCTGGGTTGAGCAAACTACAGGAAACAGCAGGGCGAAGGCCCTGAGGCAGGAAGAAGCTTGCTTGTTTGAGAAACCAAACATCCACAAACTGCCAGTGTAGCAAGAACAGAGGGACAGGAAGAAAAGCAGGGTGAGATGAAACCCAAGGTCACTTCTAAGGAACAGTAAGCCATTGCTTTGGGCTACAGTTGAAGTAGCAGATGATCAAAGAGACTAATCTGAGGCTAAAATTGGAAACCTCAGATGTCACAGTGGAAGTGTGTATACTTCATTCCTCAGCACTCGTTGTCCCACGCATGCGCATGGCAGCTCTGTGGGCAGGTCCTCAGAAGTGCACCCCACAGACTGCTCATGAAGTAAGATGATTTTGAGGATGTCGAGCTCTTGATCCAGGGCCCAAGGCATCGAGAAGGCAATTAGTGCTTTACACAGAATGTCTGAGCAGGAGGTCATCATGCTCACCTTCCTAGTCTACAGAGGACATGAAACCAGGAAAGGACTATGGGCGGTTGGAGGAGAGAGGAGGAGATGCACCTAATCATCACCAATCCCTGGTTCTCCCCTAATGTGCGCAGGAACGATACCCTGGGCTGTGAGTGCCGAAGCATTTGCTGCTGGCTAGCATTGAATGAGATTCTGCCACAGTTGCCTTCTCTCGGAGGAGGAATCATTACACAGCCGCCATGTGGAATCCCGTGCTGACGCCTAGAGAGGAGAGGCCCTGCAGGATCACCCGGCTCCAAAGGAAATCTGCAAAAGAGAGAGCCAGCCTCCAGTTTTGTGCAGTCTCTGAGTTAGCTGGCGGTGTGGTAGTGGCAGGATAACCTGACCTGGGATGACTCATGCAGAATAAAGAAGTGCAGAGCAACCCAGCTTGCTGTGACTAACACGCTCAGCCTCAGGATGCTAGGTGAGTTTTTAGCACGCGTATGTATGTGGGATGTGTATGTGTGAGCTACACGTGTCACCCCCCTTGAGGGCGTGTCTGCCTTAACAAACACCTCCCATGTTTTGGGGGGCTCCAGCACCCTCACTCCCACCCCAGACACCTGGCAGATCTTAGACAGATTCTATAGGTTTCTCCAATGCCCATGTGTCAGGTCCCTCCAAAGCTGTGACCCTACCCTGAAGAATTGAGGCCTAGACCCTGTTGAGGATCTTAGAGCAGAACCCTGAGGAGCCCACATATGTCCCTTGCATCCAAATACTTCCTCCAGCCACTCTTACCCTTCCTAAATGTAGTCTTCCCTGAGAGTTGGGGCAAAGGCCTGTCGGATACAGGCTGCTCCCAGAGGAGGTCAGAAGCAAACCAGCCCAGGAGGCCTGGAGCTCAGCCTCTCCCCTCCTGGCCTGGCCTCTGTGCAAACTTCCTGTTGGGACTTCACTGCACACTAGAGGTCCCTCATAGCCTCCCAGCTCCTTGCTGTGACTCAGAACAGGGACACACACACAGCCCCACACAGACATGCAAAACATGGTTCCTCCCAGAGAGGATAGGGTAGACCTCCCACAGCTCATGAGCAAAGGAGGTTAGAACCAGCAACTTTCCACATTCTTCCTTCATGTACCTTCTTGAACTAGAACCAGATAGCCAAGAAAAATAATTAAATGCTACATTTTCTACTGCTCGGAAAGCATTTTTTCGAGCTGCCCCCTACGCAGTGCCAATAAGGAAAGAAGAAGGAAAGAAATCATTCCATCAATAGCTCTGGCCTCCTTGGGTACAATTCTAATTAAAGTCAGACTGCCAGCGGCCTTCTGGAAATGGCTAAAAATAAACGAAGGGCCTTTTTAGATTGGGGACGAGTGTTCCGAGGGAGGGGGGTGCAGAGCGGGCGGTGGCACCAGGCTCCAGGAGATAGGGCTGCTTGAGACTCAGTGAAAGCAGGCCCTGTCCTGAACCTCCCCTCATCCATCCCTCTTCCCCTCCTCGTCTTTCCCACTGAATAATGTGTTTTTGCTGCCACTTCAATCTCAGCCCCTGCTCTCCACATTAACATGTATATTGCTTTGTTAAGGGCTATCTGGCCGGGTGGCTCTAAATAACTGGGAAATGACAGGAAGGTGATGGGGGCCGATGAATGAGGAACACGTCAAAAGCTCTTGGCAGCTTTTGTCATTTATAAACAAATGCCCAGCCTAGTTGCACATTTCCAGTTCCACTGCCCTCCTGATATAAAGGAGGGCGGAGCCTGTCCAGCCTGGTGGCCTTGCTCCTGCCTGCCTCTGCCCAAGCTCAGACAGGGCTGCCTGTGTTATCACAGCCACCGGCCATCATCTATTGCTGACTCAGGGCCACCAGGGACACAGTCAGGAACCTTGGGGAGCTGATTCTAGTCCCAGCTCGTATTGGGTGCAGGGCTTGCTGTGTGGCTTAGGCAAGACAGGGCACTCCACATCCAGTGTCATGCCCAGGCAGGTTTCCTGGAAGAAACCACCCCTGATTGCAGAAGCGGGAACTGACTGAATTAGTAGTTCAGGTCCACTATCCCCTGTGCACTGTAGGCACTTTCTGTTCACTTCCTGGCCTGTTTACACTGCACCTGTAGCTACGTACACAAATACATAAACCAAAATATGCACGCACTTTAGTTATGTGTTCTCTTTCTGAGCCAGATCTCTGTCTCCTGTAATGTAAACTCCAAAGGACAAAAGCTCTGCATTGTGTTTCCTGATCTAACTTCTATAAACTATCTCTTAGGTCTGGAGTGAGGCAGAGAGCAGTGTTATTTAACTGAGTGAAAGGATGCCTGGGTGGCCGGAAAGGGTGTCGCGGTCTGGGGAGCCTGGAGACCTGAGGCTGTGTGGGGATGTGAGAGCTTATCTGGAGGGAGGATAAGGCGTGAAATATTCCAGGCAGGCCAGAGTGGGCAGAGCTCCTGAGCTCAGACATTTAACAGCAAGGGAACAAGAAGCCTTCGAAGTATCTGAAACACAGCAGTGGCGGAATCGGGTTTGCCCCTAGGAAGATTGTGCCAGTTGCAGAAGAGAATACAGGCAGAGGGCTGAGCAGGGGCAGGCGACTGGCAGAGAAGCTGCAAACTACTCTCCAGGGGCAGGAGGACCCTTCTTGCTGCTCCTCTGCTTGAAGAACATCCTGGTGCTTGCGAGGGGTTGCAGTGAGCTCGAGGCAGGACCCAGACTGCAGACTGCTGCAGACCCATGCTGCTTGTCAGAAACACTCTAGAAGGAGCAAGAAAAGCAACATAGAAGAAAGATCACAGCTGGGAGCCTAAGCCCTGGGAACACTTGACGAAGAGTTTTTGTCTCTGATCGGGCTCTTGCTTGCCTCTTTACTATTACCCTCACCCTGGGACAAAAACAGTGACAAAGCAAGTGGTGACAGAGCACCCTTCTGAACCACATATGTATCGAGGCACTTGATACCGCCATATTAATCTTCCCAGCACATCTGGAAAGCCCCAGGCTCCACAGTCAGGGCTCAGTCACACACTCATCCCTCAGCATCCCAGGGAATCAGTGTCAGCACCCTTCAGATTCCAGAACTCACAGATGCTCAGGTCTCCAGTGTAAAATAACATGGTATTTATGTAGGCTCCTCACATCTTCTGGAGTGGACTGGTAACTTGGGTCAAGTTAAACGCCAGCTGAACTGAATCAGTAGGGTGCTAAGTGTGGATGGCCCATCTGAGGACTGATGCCAGCATAAAAAGGAGACCTGGAGAGGAAGAGTGGCATTGTGGGTCCTTCTAAGTGTTGTCATTGGTTCTCCTAGAAGAGTTTGTCAGGCTGGCTCCCCTGATATGGACTCATCTGTTTTCATTGTCAAAGGCACTTGGGACCTCATTGTTGCTGAGGATGGCTGTGGTACTTTTCATGGGAGCCCTGGCCCTTATTTTAAGCATCATTTCTTGGCTCTGTCCAGATCCTTCACCCCACTGGCATAGACCTTCTCGCTTCCACCACTAACCTTTGGGCCTTCCCAGTGTAGATCCATGGGATAGACTTGTATGGGTCATTGTCATGGGCTCTAGGTTTTCAGCTGAACTCATGAACGTTCTGGCCATGGGATCCAGGCCATCAGCTGGATTTTCTAGGTCTTTAGTGTTATGAACAAATTTCTTGCTCTTTCCTTGTGCTTGACTCCTTAGGTGACTATTATAAATAATACTATAAATTATGTGCCTGTATGTAATTGTTCTCCTTGCAACCCTTGACTACATCTTCCTACTATTTTAAATCATCTCTAGGTGACTTATAACTCCTAATGCAATGTGAGACCTAGGTAAACACTTGTCATACTTTGTGTTTAGGAAATAATGACAAGAAAAAAGACTCTACATACTCAGTACAGATACAGCCATCATGGCCTAACCATGCACTACACGAACTGCAGCTCACAAACACCGATGGAACAGGGGTACAGAGGATCAATAGATGTCTGGGACTGGCAGGAGCCTAGTGCAAGATGAGCCCATGAATTTCTGCTTTCCTGGCCATTGAGCACAGTGCTTGGAATGAAGTAATTTTAAGTTTTGATTCTTGAAAATTTGTGGAACATTTAAAAATATCATTCAGCCACAGTTTAGTCTGCAGATGCAGAAACCAGATAGATATGGAGGACTGCGGTCCGCTGCTGTGTGCTATGACTCTTCCTGTACTGGATAGACGGTCTAGTGGGGCTTCTTTCCAGGTCCTTGATGTCCCCAAGAACTGAAAAGGCAGCAACGGTGCACATTTAATGAAGGTGGGGAAGAGGTGCTGTCTCCGGGGCAACAGCAGGCAGGTAACCAGGCTCACAGTGACCCTGAGGGTAAGAGAACGGATCTTTGTATCCAAAATTTCTGGGTTGGCTTCCTCCTCATGCAGCCCATCTTCTGGGAGGGAGCAGTTCCATGGTCACTTGTCCTCGTACACCCGTCAAATTTGCCACCAGGTAGCAGTCTCCTCTATGTAGAGAAAGATAAGAAGCGAGGAGCCTTGTGTCCCAAGTGGCCTGAGCCAGCTGCACCTCTGCTGTCCATTAGTTTCTTGGAGACCACCCAGTGTGGCAATTCTTGCCTGGCATGCAGCAGCAGTGCACTGGCAGCCCTGTGGGCTGGTGCACTGTTTTGTAAAGTCCTACGCCTATGCTTTGTCTGACTTAGAAGTCTCTTAGTTTATGCTGACTTTGCCATCAGGATGTACGTCCCACCCTTTCTTCCAAGTACCTGTGCTTTTAGGTGATTTTTTCTGAGTAGCTCAAATACGGCTCCTCCTCTATTTAGTTATGTTGGATCTCTCCTCATGCAAATAAGGCATTTGTCTATCATCTCACTTGGCGGGGCACCAGCTTTAAACTACCCCGCCAAAAGATCTGCTTGGCTTCTGTCAGATGGAAACGAACAATTGGAAATAGCACTTTCTGACTGGTCCTGCAAACTGCTGGACTCAAATGAAGGATTGAAAATAAGCATTTCCCGGTTGGTTCTGTGGCCAGTGCTCAGGAATCATTCTGGGTCCTGTGTTTGGTGTATGTCCTCTGAGTTTTTATGACCTTTGCCATACTCTGCCCAGTTAGTTGTCCAGTTTGCCCCTGCCCTAATCTACCTCATTCCCACTTAGGTTATTATCATCCTTGATCTTACCGAAGATAGGTAACAAACAGGACAGATGTGGTCACTTTCCACCCCACAGACTGGGAAACTTCTCTCCAAGGAGAAGTATCTTCTCCAAGGCACATGGGTAACAAAGGACAGGTAAGTGTAGAATCCAGGGTGAAAAAGGAAGGGGACTTCTCACGTACACCAGACACTCTGCTAGGTACTTTCTACACTCTGCTGGGTACTTGTTTTTAAGCTTCACAACATATAATGTCAATCTTCTGATCGAACATTTTGAATTAGAAAATGGAGGCTCATTTTTGGAGACTCATTTGTTTGGGACTTGCCCAAAGTCTCACATCTGGTGTGTGGAAAATGTAACCTGAAATTATTCTCATTCCAATCTCCATGTTCCTCTAATCCTATTGTCCGACTGGAATTCTGAGTGTAAATCCTCTGAAATCATCCCTTCCTGCCACAACTCCTTATGTCACCTCAATCAAAGCCTGAAGCTGACGTCTAGACCTAAATATTCTCAGCATCTTGTCCTGACCCAGTATAAAAAGTGGACTCCCCAGCTGTGGCGCTGGCCCTCAGAGCCGCCCAGATCTCAAAACCTGGGGTATTCCACACACTCTTGTGACAATAGCATGCTAAGCCAGAGACCTGGTCTGATATCTCTTTCACTCATATCCCTGAAAAGGTACTGATACTTACAAAACTCTTTCCCTTGTAGCCTCTAGGTCTTCTTCCAAATGCACATATACCTGAGTGTCTGTCTCCAGAGAACCAGAGTCAGAGCCACAGCAGAGCACTGCAAGAGTCCTTCAAGCACTTTTGTCTCTTCCTGACAGAAATCTTGGCCAGTTTTCCACACACCTTCCAGCTCCTGTGCTGAAGTTGGGCAGGGGTGAAACTCTGGCCACAGTGCTTTCTTCAGTCCTTTTCTCTCAAAAAGCAACTGTTCCTGGGAGAAGGAACACCCCGTCACCTGCTGGAGTACACTGTGACATCTGTGTGCCACTTCTCTCTCACACTACTCACAGATATTCAAGCCAGAGAGATAGAGGGAGCAAGAGAAAAAGACACACAAACTAAAGGATGGAGCTGGGTCACATGGCCCTTGGGTCACATGGCTCAGGCACACTGGGACCAGGCATCTTCATCACACCTACATCGTTACAAATCACTAATGAGCACCTGTGCAGCAAAAGCTTCTATACCAGGTGCCAGTGAAATTCCTGCCCTCAAAGAATCTGTTTTCAAGGGAGAACTAGGGCCTATTGCCATGCAAAAAAAAAAAAATGAAAACAAATTTCAGCTCAGGATAAGGAGTGAGAGCTCAGGGAACAGAGGCAGGGTGAGCTCTGATCCTGGCTGTTGAGAGAGTCTTCTCCCCATCAACCTCACCTCTCTCGGTTTTTCCTGCCTTTACCCAGGGACACAGAGGGCAGCCCGTGATTCCGGGTACCTTGGAAGGCCGCCGTTATGGTTTATGTCTAGATGTCCCCCAAGGGGCCCATGTGCTCATAGGTGGTACTTTTAAAGGTATTAAATCAGAGGGCCACTGTGACTAGAAGTGATGTTAGGACGCGTGATCTAGTTGGAAGAGGCGGTCACTGGGGGGTGACCTGGAGGGTATATATGCCTCTAGCTGCCCCTTCACACTCTGCTCCCCAGCTGCCATGACAGCATCACCTGAACAGCTTTCCTTCTCTGCCTTGGACTCACCCAATTATGGACTAAAAACTTGAGACAAAATAAACCTCTCCTGAGCTTCAGCTGTCATGTATTTTGTTCCAATGAAGAGGAAAGTGTCCAACAACTCCCACAAAGAGGAGCACACAGTACTGCTCAGTGCTGGCCCCTACCTCCCCTAAGTCCTGGACACTTTGATTGCATGGAAGTTCTCCTCACACTGCACTGGACGCTCACCACCCTGGAGCACACATCTCTCCCAGCCCCTGAGCTTCCTCCCACCCCTCACACTGAGCCTCTTTCTGTTCATTCCCACTCAGCTTCCCAGCTGAAATACCCTCCATCTGGGGAACTGAGTTAAGAGTTAACAGCTCCCTTCTCCCACTCCTGCACCTCTAAGTCTTTTTCCCAAGGCTTCCTTATCTACTTTAATTGTTGGAATCAGTTGCTCACAAGTCTGTTTGCCTTATTGGGCAGAAAGCTTCCTGCGGGCAGGCAGAAACCAGATATTACTGTACTCTGTATCCTAGATCCTTGCCACATGTTAAGGATCTGTGCAGTGGCAGCCCCAGGGGCTTGTGAGGAAGGCAAGAACTTGCTCAGAGCCACCAATTCAGAGTCTCTGATTTAATAAAGCCTCTGGCAGCATGCTATTCACAATAAAGTGTAATTCCCTCCACTTAATGACCCAAACAGCGTAACACTGGTTTCCACAAACACATCCCTTACTTTTCTACTGTAAATTTTTACTTTAGTGTAATAGTAACCAGCTGTGCATCTCAGTAGCTGCACCTGAGGGACACGGGAAGTAGTCTTTGTGTTTACCCACTCGATACAATGAAAGACAAGATGTATGCATGTGTGCAAAAGTGTCAAACCAGGATTTTCACAAATATTATGTTCCATCTAACAGGTTTGGCATATATTTACCTATCACAGAAGATTCAATATACCTACACCATTCTAGGACTGATTTTTTTAAAAAATTTGCTTGTAGAAGTAGCCTGATTCAGTACAATGGAACATAAAAAAACAAATTTGCAAGTTTTGGAGGAGGTCAAAATGAATCACCAGATTACTCATACATAAATGATGATTGTCATTCATGGTAAAATTCAGGTTCACATAACAGAAAAATAATGTGGGTGGATGATGATGATGATGATGGTGATGTGATGCTGGCTTTGATATTGGCCATGTGAATTAAAGTTCCTGTGACAGTGAAATGGAGCAAGGATCAACTGATGCAGACAAAGAGAAGACAGACTTCCTTGATTCAACTGACAAAGAATGTGAGCATGTGAATATATATTTGACTAGCTCACTTTGCTCACTATATGTGAGCAATGTGAACATATATTTGACTAGCCAAAATGTTGCTAGAGGATCACACAACCAAATGGAACAATCCAATATTAAAACTAGGTCCAAAAGTATAGTGAGGGTGATGGCAGAGGTGAAACTTATTGGACAGAATTCCAGCACTTCTATTTGATGTTGGAAATTGTAACAGACAAAATGCTACAATGTGTGAAATACATGAAGGTTGAAATACAAATAAAACATTCTGTATGCACCAATATCCAAATTCAAAAACGTATTTATTATGACGCCTCATGAGCTGAACTGAAAGGGTTCACAGTTCTGCTGTAATTAGCAAGAATTTTTCATGGTAATCACAGGAATGTAAAAGATTATGGAAAAAGGATAGGTCAAAATATAACATAAAATTTATGTCTTTGTGTATGTGATAATTTATCCTGGAACTCAGCCAACAGGTCTTTGCTTTTGCTTCCATCTCCCAAACTAATTAGATTTTGACATTTGACAATTGATTTATCAATTTCCAATTGTTGTTACATTTGCTAACAAAGCACACGTTGACCACAGTAGAAAATGTACATGGTAACAAAGCAGAAATTCCCAATGAAATGGGGCAATTTCAAAACAGAAAATTGTATAGTACAATCCTTGGATTTCAGAAAGATTTACATCCACCTTATATATGGCAAAGAAAAACAAAGTGGTACTGCTGAAGTAGTTAGCATGGCACCATGATGAGAATACCAAAACCTCAACAAAATGGAAGCCTGAGACAGAAACTTTCTACAAGACCAAAGGCGGACTAGGTGTTGTTAAATTATGCAGCAATTGTGTCACTTGGAACCCAAAGCATTGGCCAAAGGCTATGTTTTACGTGATCTTAAACATGCGTGGCATAAATTTTGATAGTTTGCAAAGAAAAAAATAAGTGCACAATATCATGGAGAAACTTTCTTAAAGGATTAGGACTGGAACTAGTAAGAGATTATTTACAGCAGAGGGGAAACAAATGTTTCCGCTCAAGGAACTATGCCAAAAAATTGTGTGTCACACTGGTGAGCTGACAGGTGAACAGGCAGGCACAGCATCTCAAGACCTATTACAACAAGAGGAAAATCAAAAGTATTTCAACTGTGCCCTAAGAGAAAGGACAGGGAAAAAAAACATATATGACATCAGTGTAATCAATACTTGTGTATGAAACATGCAAATTTCATGTCAGGACTGCATTGGGTATGACAATTGCAAAGATTATCTTTATTTGCAGAGTTCTATTGGTATTTTCATTGTAGTTCATCATTGTCTTTCTGATATTATCTCTTAGGTTTTGGAACCAAGTGAACAACTGATGTGACAATGTTGATGTCTATTCTAAGCACTCATTACACATTCGATATTTTATTTGACTGATACCTTATTTCCCTGCTAAGTACACACTGTATAGCACTGTAGGAAATTCCTGACAAACAGGAAGAAAAGAGAGAAGACAAGAATGGCCCCCTGCATAGCAAAGGAAAGCTAAACACATATGCCGTCAGTGCATGCATGACATGTTCACAGTACACGCAGATGTCATGTATGAAGACTGCCTTGGATGTGACAGTCAAAGCAAAGATTATTTCTGTGGCAGACTTTTATTTGTCTTTACATTGCAGCTCACACAAGCTTTTGTTTCTTAGGTTTTGTAAGCAAGTATACAGCTGATGTGAAAATGTTGATGTTTATTCTAAATGCACCATACATATTAAGAACTTAATGCTTTATTTTATTGATATTTTACGTTTCCATTAATCACACACTGCAAAATATAAGGACCTTCTGGCCAAATAGCAAGACTAGCAAGATATCAAGTGTGTCCTACAGAAGGCCAAGAAAAAAAAAATACATGTGCTGGCAGCGTAAGCAATTCGTGTGTTTGGAACAAGCTGCTGTCATGTGTGAAGATTGCCTTCAGTGTGATAATTGAAAGTAAATATTACTTTTTGTAGAGTTCTATTGACATTTTTATTATAGTTCATACAAATTCCTGTTGTTCTTCTTTAGATTTTGTACATCAGACACCAACTAATGTTTAAAATTTTGATGCTTGCTTGTAAACATTCAATAAGTAGTGGTAAGAATGTAATAGTTTATTTTTTTTTATTTTTCTCATTAGGCAATCATTGTTTAAAATAATCAAACCCATAAAACTTAAACTGATAATTCATCAGTAGAAATATTCTGAAGAATAAACCAGGTTTGACACACCCAAGTTTATGAGACTTTGTGACAAAAAATGTGTTAGGCTCTGCATGGGGACTTTCACATTACAGTCATTCAGGGCATTTGTTGAATGACTAAATGGTTGTATTTGGAAAGGATCATCCAAGCCCAGCCAGTTTAACCACAGGCACTGGTTACCTGGAGCTCCAGTGAGACTTGGAGTCCATCCTCAGCTGTTTAGATGGAGTTGTCAACACACACACTCCTCCTGCACTCTCCTTTAACTTTTTTTCTCTGCCTCTTCCTCCAGAATCAAGCATATCCTACAGATAGTGGTGCTCCACTCTCAAAAATGTAGTTAGAAAAAAAACAGTCTTGGAGGCAGCGCATCCATAACCTGCCCTGCAGCTGGGCCTTCGAGGAAGGAGTAGCCCATCAGCAGCTGTGAGTGATGGCCTGGCCACCAGACCTTGGGAGGGAGACAGCTCTGCTGCTGTTTGTCATCCTCTCCCCCAGAGCCCCGCAGGGGCAGCGAGCTGCAGAACGGCCCACGCCAGGTGTGCAGGTCCAGGCTCTTTGTCAAACTCAGCCGGCCTCTCCTGCGCACACCACCCCTCCTTTTAATCCCAGACACGAAAGACCTCCACAAAGCCTGCTGGGAAAATCCCTAGGAGACAGAGCCAGCATCAGGCCCACAACGCGCACCACCTGCTCCCCACCACACTCCTGTCCGCTCAAGCCTTTGCTCACTGCGCAGGCCCAAAGTTTGCCTGAACATAATGGCAAATCCCCATCAGAGGCCCGATGTGAAGCCCTGATTTGCAGCCCCACGGAGTCAAAAGCTTCAGGAGTCATTAAGATCACTCTCGCTCCGAATTCCACTCAATAAATCAGCAGAGAATTTGTGCTGCACAGTACACCAGAAATGCAAAGGAAAAACTAAGCATTACATTATTTATGTTTCTTTAAGTGTGAGGAATGTTTTCCTTCTACCACTCGGGAGTCAGGCAAGCAGGAACTATTATCCCTATTTTACAGGAGGAGACCCCAACCAACCTGAGACCCCAAGAGGTTAAATCTCATTTACTCTGTTGTAATTTGTACCTTCCGTGTGCTCAGAAAGAGTTTTACATGGCTTAGAATAAAATGATATTTACATAATGACTAGCATTTGAAGTTTCACCCTACAAACATCTCCACATTTGGTCAAAAACTATATGCAGAACACATGTTATGACAATTTAAGTACTTCAATTTATGAAGAAAATCACCATTTGGAGGTTTTATTTGCTCAATAAACTTATATTGAGCATTTTTAAAACATCGCTACTTGTATACATGTGGATATAAAATAAAGATGAAAAACAAATCAGACTCCATCTAGGTGGAGACTTTTGTCAATAGCCAGAAAGGATCTCTTCGCTATAATTAGTCTGAAATTAGCCTCTGGGCTTTCTAGCAGGCAAAGTAAAAAGGGATGGACTAAGTGTTGCAAACTGTTACTATCAGGTGGAAGGAAAAGGATATATGTGTTCAAAAAAACCCCACTGCTTTGTGATATCACACTATAAATAAAATACGTCAGTGGTATTTTTTGGAAATGAAATATTATATAACCTTTTCGGCAGTGGCCACTCAAAGGATATGGAAAAATATTTTCTGCTAAGATTTTTAATTCAAATCTAAACTGAATTTAGTGCCCTGGCCCAGGAATGTATTTCATAGAGACATCATGGGTTCTTTGATACCTGCAAATGCTGAACCCTTGTACTGAACCCTTTATATACCCAGCCCTTTATGTCTTTTTTTGAGACAGGGTCTCACTAAGTCATTAAGTTCTCCAGACTGAACTTGAATTTGCAGTCTTCCTGCCTCAGCTTCCCAGATGGCTGGGATTATAGGTGTGTAACACCATGCCAGGCTATAGATAAATTCTTCCTCCTTTCCTCAACCAAAAGCTTTTAAAGAGTAGTCTACATGCCTAGTCTCTGTGCCCATAGGTGCTGGAGTCATTAAGCAAAACTCCTGCCCCAGTTCTCCTCTGAGGATTTCTCTCCACAGTGACTTCCAGACTGCCCAAGAAGGCCTGTTCATGTCTTTTATCAAACATTTTAGCTCAACTGCTAGAACACACTACAGGATGGAGGTGAAGAGGTTAAACACAGATGTTAGAGTGTGAGAAGTTCCTGTTCGGATTGAAATGCCAGCGCACTTGATTTCCACTACTGGCCACTTCCAGGCTCAGACAGCACCTCCTTGCATCCTTGCTGTCCTTACGTGGTATTTAAGCCATGGGATGCACTCAGGTCTCTTCTCATAAGGGTGTTCACCCCATCCTCAGGCCCTCACCCCCACCTGAAAGCCATCGCTTCTCACAAGTCCACCTCCTAGTACCTCACGCTGGAGGTTAAGGCCTCACCATGTGACACCAGCCTTGTGCCCATAACCCTGCCTGAAACCTTCCTGTCCACCACTCTGAGAGAGCTCATCGTTCTGGTCCTCCTCATGGGTTGGAACCCTTGCTGCTTGTCCTCTGCCTCCTCCATGCTTCTGTTCCTGGACACATCCTTCAGGGTGGCCTGGGAAGGCCCATGTGCAGCCAAGCTCTCCCTCCATTCCTCCATCAGACTCCCCTGCAGCCCCTCGCCTCCCCTGCCCCACCACACTCCACAGACTCCTCCAGGGTCAGTGATTCCTCTCCTTCCTGCACTTCTGTGGAGCTACTTTTTCTCCCAACCCTTTCTCCAAAGTGTCCCCTATAGTTCATCTCTTCCTCCCCTGGACTGGTGCTACAGCTCCCTGAATCACCCCTGCCTGCCTCAAACTCACCCCTCCAGAGAAACTGCAGATCAGAATGTGTGCCATCTCTGCTTGACACTTTAAGTAGGTGGAGCATGGAGGCAAAGCCATAGGTGAACAGATGAACAGAGAGGGACAGGACCGGGGATCAGATCTTCCTCTTCCTATGCCAAAACTGTCTCTCTCCTGTCCCTTACAGTCTGAGGCACCAAGCCCTCTCCTGCTCGGATGCGGGGTAAGCAAAGCACAGAGATGCAGAAGAGGTCACAGGGCAGGAGCATCCACCAGGTCCAGGCAGCACCCACTGAGGATGCCCTGAGGGGTTAAATGCTCAGAGGGGATGGGATGAGGGCCCAGTAGGAACTCTGGGGACCAGAGGATCATGGGAAACATGGGCTTCCAAAGGGCAGAGGAAGGCAGGGCTTGGGAGGGCAGGAAGGTGTTTAGGAGGCCTAGACTGGACTGCAGGACAGCTGAAGGAGGAGGTCACTGGGAAGCCAGGGAAGCCGGGCTGCAGCCAGGGTGGAGGGTGACAAGGATGTTGATAGGAGGGACAGAGGGAAGGGTGGAGGGCTGGGCATTTGAGGCTGAGGGGCCCGGGGAGTGAGTCAAGGTGGGGCTGTGGGTCAGGCAACCGTGGTGGCTGCAGGTGCTGAGAGTCCTCTTCTCCGGGAGGTCTTGCTGACAGCAGGAAATTACTTTGCCTCCACCCACTCCCTCCATTTCCTTCCTTCTGGTTTTCTTCATTTTCTTGGGGAGAAATGAAGTGAAGTCTAATTGTTTCCTCTACTCAGCTTCCACAACAAAGTGATATCCACAATTTACCAATTCTGAGATAAGGGTGTGTTTGGGAGATCATTGTGCTTTGCACAGCTTGTACTGGGCCCTGGATGGGAGCTGCAGGGAGGGAGAGAGGACTGAAACTGACCGGGTAACTTTGCCTTCCCAGGGGACTCTTTCAGCCTGGCATCCACCAGACCAAAGTGGCTGCTGACTAGAAAGCAGATGGTGTCTCTGGGGCTACAGAGCTGCCTGTGGTGGAGAGGGGATTGGGAAAGACCTCCTCCCCAGCCTACCCCTTTCCCTTATAAGAGCCTGATCCAGACTCAGCACTCCTGAATTTCAGTCTTGGTTTCCCAATCCCTCCCTGCAGTCTCACGGTTCCTTGATTTGCCATGGAGATGAACGGATTCCTCTGAGCTGCGGGGCAGAAGAGTAGGCTGCTGGAAGCATCAAGACAGAGACGTCCCCAGGGATGCTGACAGTGGCCAGTGTGATCTGGTTCTCAGAGTGATGAAGAAAGGACGCTGTGTGAGCCAGATGAAAGAAGACCTCAGCGTGGTCTGGATGGAGCTGCACATTAGGCACCAATGGCCATAAAACTTTATTGTAATCACTGCTACAGTTTAATGAGAAATTTTAAAATGTGCTGTTCTCCTATCCCCAAGACTCCGGGTCTTCTCAACCAATCCCTTCCTAATATGCAAATCTCATAGTGTAATACTGAGATGCCAGCCAATCACCATTCTAGTTTTATGATACCTAAATCTCCCTACACCCTCCCTGTACTGGGGATTGAACTCTTGACCTTGCACTTGCCAAGCAGGTGCTTGTGCCACTGAGCTAAAGCCCCACGCCCTGTGAGCCTGGGGGATGGGGGTGAGGGGACAGAGAGACGGGCTCTCCAGCCAGGGAAGGAATTAATACACTGGAAACCACCCAAACTGCAGGAGAGTGTTGGTCACGCAGCCCTGATGGTTGAGGTACAGATGACCGGAAAAGAAGGCCAGAGTCTTCTGAGGCATTCGTGGAAAAACAGAAGTTGACTTGGGTTTGAAAGAATTCGATGTGTAAGAAGAAAGCAAGGCAGTACAGTAAAGAGAAAGCTCGCATAAAGGCAAACAAGGGCAGTGAGGAGGGTAGAGGTCAGTTACGGAGGAGCAGAGTGTGGGACCCACGGCAGGAGACCGTGCAAAGAGCACTGGATTTGAACTCAGCTGATCTTGGTTTGACTCTTGCCTCTGCTTACTTATTGAACAACGTGGGGCAGCTACTTAATCTTTCTGAGCCTTTTTCCTCAAAGGCTTGGCCTGAGGGTAAGCTTTGACTTATAATGTTTTTTTGTTTTGGGTTTTTTTTTTTAATGTAAGTTTTTTATTTTTACCCTATAATCTAATACCAGTTTTTCCTTTTATCTTAAACTTGGAAAATTTTATTCCTCTACTGAATAAGTTTATAAAAAGTGCTCCT